CACTTGCTCGAAATAAATGCAGGGAAAGTTTATTGTAACTTCTGTTTTTAATGAGCAAGAGTTAACCAGTGCCAGAGCTTCCTCGTTAGGTACTTTTGTAAGCTCAGTACTTGCAAGTAGTAAATTATTAGGTGGTACTGAATAAATTCAAGACAGTACTTTTAATGGTTTAGAGGTGTCTAATCTCCTCCCAGCTGGTTTGTTATGACTTTCAAAGGTCTTGGAAATTTTAGGGAAAACCTTGATCATTAAAATTTAAGGCAAAAAGTAATTTATTTTGTGATATTAATTTTTCAAATATACGTGTTGTGTTAACATGCACAGATGTCTGTGGGTGGTGAGATTATAGATTTTCTTTTCTATGCTCTTAAAGATATTTTCCAAATTTTATACAGTAAATGTGTATGATTTTTATAATCGGAAAAAGCTTTCTAGCAGCACTAGATGGGGCAGAGCAAGGTAGTCATCCATGCAGAGGGGCAGTCTGGCTTGGAATATTGAGGCCTAAGCAGAGTGAGGAGTGGGTTCATGGGTTGGAGGGTAGCCTGGCATGAAGAGTCAGAGCTCAAGTAGATGAGGATGGTAGTCATGTGTGGGCACCTGGTGGTGGGTTTCAGAAGCCAAGCAGAGCAAGAAGGGCATCCATGTGGGGGAAAGGCCTACACAGGATGTGGAAGGCATCCATAGGGGGTGGTGCTTGATGCAGAGTGTCAAAGCCTAAGCAGGGTGAAGAGATGGTCCCACACCAGCAGTCAGAACCCTAGTGATGTAAGGAGGACATCCACGTGTGCTGAGTAGCCCAGAATAGGGAATTCAGGGTTTAAGTAGAGTGAGGAGGGCATCCACATACAGTAGGGGTTTCTGGCTGCAATGAGAGATTATATGATTATATGGAGGGAGAGATTAAATTAGTCAATGTATTCAGGGTAATGGGAGCCAGGTTTCTCACTGTCAGTAAAGGGAGACACAAATTATGGAAAGGGAGAAACTAAAATGAACCCAGTTAAGATATTGCGTTAAAACTGGAAGCTTCAATGTGAACTTGTGGTTTCCAATATATAGATAGGTAGATATAGAAATATAGATGTGAAAAGGTAGATACGTACACAGATACATACTCTAACTCTACATTGTGTCAGAAGGAAGTACTGGAAAAATGATGGGAAATGGTCAGGACACAGAATCCAGCTTAGAGAGGTTCCCACTGACCATATCTGGGGCAATTTAAGCATTAAAATAGGTAAGGAAAATAATTGATATAATGCATTGAATAAAATGAAAATTCATGAGTCAGTACTGATATAAATAAATAAATTGAAATTTTAAGGCTGGGCATGGTGGCTCATGCCTGTCATTGCAGCACTTTTGGAGGCTGAGGTGGGCTGATTGCTTGAGCCCAAGAGTTCAAGACCAGCCTGGCCAACATGGTGAGACTCCATCTCTACAAAAAAAAAAAAAAAATTAGCTGGGTGTGATGGCACATGCCTGTAGTCCCAGCTACTGGGGACTGGGCAACAAAGGGAGATCCTATCTCTACAAAAAATAAAAATATTAATAAATTAACTGGGTGTGGTGGTACATGCCTGTGGTCCAGCTACTCAGGAGGCTGAGGTGAGAGGATCACTGGAACCCAGGAGGTCAAGGCTGCAGTGAGCCATGATGGTGCCACTGCACTGCAGTCTGGGTGACAGAGCAAGACCCTGTCTCTTAAAAAAAATTTTTTTTGACTTGGCATGGTGGCTCACGCCTTTAATCCCAGCACTTTGGGAGGCTGAGATGGGCAGATCACGAGGTCAGGAGTTTGAGATCAGCCTGGCCAGTATGGTGAAACCCCATCTCTACTAAAAATACAAAAATTAGCCAGGCATGGTGGCGGGCAGCTGTAGTTCCAGCTACTTGGGAGGCTAAGGCAGAAGAATCGCTTGAACCCGGGAGGCGGAGGTTGCATTGAGCCAAGATCGTGCCACTGCACTCCAGCCTGGGCAATGGAGTGAGACTCCGTCTCAAAAAAAAAAACCCAAAAAGTCCTTAAATTAGAATTTTTTTTTAAATTGTAAAGGGACCTTGTTATGTTGTGCAACCTAAAGTGCAGTGCTATTTACAGGTGTGATTGTAACTCACAGCCTTAAACTCAAGCAATGTACCTGCCTCAGCCTCCCAAGTAGCTGAGACTACAGGTCACCACACCCAGCTAAAATTATTCTTTTTCTTTTTTTAGAGATGAGGTCTCTCTGTGTCACCTAGGCTCGTAGACTCAAGCAATCCTCCTGCCTCAGCCTCCAGAGTAGCTAGAACTATAGGTGCGTGCCACTGAGCCTGGCTAAAAATTAGGTAAAAAAATTTTAAATGCAAACATCAGCCAAACTTCAAATATAAATATTATTTTCAACTAACAAGGAAGTTTTAAAGATCCCTCCTTATTTGTTTGTTTGTTTGTTTTTTTGTGAGATGGAGTTTCACTCTTGTTGCCCAGGCTGGAGTGCAATGACGCAGTCTCAGCTCACCACAACCTCTGCCTCCGGGGTTCAAGCGATTCTCCTGCCTCAGCCTCCTGAGTAGCTGGGATTACAGGAATGCGCCACCATGCCTGGCTAATGTTGTATTTTTAGTAGAGATGGGGTTTCTCCGTGTTGGTCATACTGGTCTTAGATTCCCTCAGGTGATCCACCCGTCTTAGCCTCCCAAAGTGCTGGGATTACAGACGTGAGCCACCGTGCCTGGCCTGATCTCTCCTTATTTTTTAAAGCATGTTTATTTATAGAAGCATGTAACTACATACTATGAAATTTAAATCTGTATTCAAATTGATTGACCCCCATTAATGTCCCTTAGGGTAGGGTAGGAGGAGTGAGTATAGGGAAGATTTTACCATAATTACTTTATTTAATGTTTTAAAATTTGTCTTCAAATTCAAGTGATCCAAATTGTGTCTCTTAATTTTATGATTTGTGTGCAGATGAACTACTGGACTATCAGAAAACTAAGGCTGCAATAATAACTATTCATGTCTATAAAGCAGTTTTACAACCAATATCTCATTTTGATCCTAATAGTAACATTCATTCATTCAGCAAAAACAAAAAAGTCATTGCCTATCCTAGTATCTGGAAATATGCATTATTATGATTTCATAGAGGAGATGGAGTGAGACACTGGCTGGCCACTCGTAAGTACCGAAGCCTGGATTCCAGCCCAAGTATTGTGACTTGAGTTCTGACTTAAGTCTGCTGTCTCAATTAAGGGTCCTAACTTTCCTGTGATAATGTAATCCCTGAGAGCCTGTTTCTTCAACAGCAAAATGAAATTGTTGTACTCTTTAAACTTCAAGCTCCTTTCCAGCTTCAAAATCCTAAAATTCAGCTGGAGTGGTGACTCATGCTTGTAATCCCACCACTTTGGAAGGCCGAGGCTGGAGGATGGCTTGAGCCTAGGAGTTCAAGATCAGCCTGGGCAATATACTGAGACCCCCTCTGTACAAAAAATAAGAAAATTAGCTGGACATGATGGCATGCACCTGTAGACCCAGCTACTCAGGAAGTCTGAGGTGGGAGGATCACTTGAGCCTGGAAAGTGGAGGTTGCAGTGAGCTGTGTTAGCACCATTGCACTGCAGCCTGGGTGACAGAGTGAGACCCTGTCTCAAAAAACAAACAAAAATTCTAAGATTCATCTCGTCGATAACAGTAACAACAACAACAGAAACAAAATAGGAGTGATGTTAACTAGAAAAAAATGTAACTTAGATGGAAAAAAATTAAAAACTACAAAACTTTCCTGAAATGTTTTCAATGACTTGAATATACAGACTTGCATAAGGGGCTAATTTTCCCATTCTCCTTTTTTTAATCTTCAATTTCAGGTTCATTAATAAATAGAATTAGGTGTGATGCTTCAGTGCTTGTGAAAATAAGTTTGTTCGTGAAGGCTAAGTCAGTAACAAATCTGCAGCCTCCCTCCTGTTATATACATATTTTGGTGGTAGTTGTTCCAAGGAATCCTTTGTCCTTTTAATTAGGGTAAAGACAGATGGATTTGGAAGACACTTTTCCTTGTTAAATGAAGAGACCCCTACAGCTTTCTGTAGCTTGAGGCAGTCTTATGGGAAACTGGCATTTACATGTTTTTCCCTTAGGGATGTGGCTGCATTATTGTTACTGTTAAGTTATACTTGATTGGTCTGAATTGTGCAGCATTGGAAGTGAAATTTTTGTCTTGAAAGCTCTATATAACAGCTCATGAGCACTTTTCAAAAGAGGGGAAATTTATAGAGGAGAAGAAGACTCACAGCGAGTGTTTAGACAGTGAGACTGACTGTTTTCAAACAAATCTAATTCATTATATGCCTGGTAATGAAGACATATTAATAACAGAGAAAGCAGCCCCATTATCTATGTGCTTCTGTTAACCAGTTTATTTTGTTTATATCAGTGGGCAGGACACCATCTGTTACCAGAAATTTTCTTTTCATCAAGCCTGCCCCGATTAAGAGTCCTCAGTTAAGTAACATCAGCTGCCCTCTTGTTTAATTTCCATAACTCAATTCAGGGGTATGGAGAGAAAAAGGCAGCTATAAGAGGATATTGTAAATTACACCATGCCCTCTGAGGATTTAATTTGGTCATCTCCTTGGCAAGAAAAATTAGTGGGAGGAGCTTATGTATGTTGGAGAAAAAGAGTGAAGAGAAGGGGGCAGAACTAACGATAGATGAAATAGCTTTAAGGAAATTGTTTAGTAGGATTAAAAAAAATTTTTTTTTGTAGCTTTTTGGTCACTTTTTGTTTGCTCACATTGTCTTTTTCTAAGGCATATTTTAATTGTTTAGATACAGGTAGTGATGAGTTCTGTTCCATAATAACCTACTTTCAGGACTGGGAAATATAGCTTACCTACATAGTGGTATGTATATGTTCATGTGTTAAAAATACAATGAATATGTAAATGTTACTGTAAATGATGACACTATAACACTGAAAGAATTTTATGTTTTTATTCTATCAAAGGTCCATGACTCCAGCTCAGGCTGACTTGGAGTTTCTTGAGAATGCTAAAAAGTTGTCTATGTATGGAGTTGATCTTCATAAAGCAAAGGTAATGATATCTTTGCCCTTTATTAATATGCATGTGGAAGACATTATATGATACATGTCTGTTATGTATGTATCACATCTGTGTCGTATCATACTTCTTACCAACATCTGGGGTATTTTAAAACATTCAAAAGAGATAGTAGACTGGGCACAGCAGCTCATGCCTCTAGTCCCAGCTACTCGGGAGGCTGAGGTGGGAAGATCACTTGAGTCTAGGAGATCGAGGGTACAGTGAGCCATGATTGTGCCACTGCACTCCAGCCCTGGCGACAGAGCAAGACCCCGTCTCAAAAAAAAAAAAAGAGTACTTCTTGTTAGCGTTTTAAGTGTATCAGTTAAATCAGTCAACTGTATCAATTGAATTCGCCCCTTAGCAATTCCACCCTCAGAATAAAGTTTCATATCCAAACTACTGTTAAGATCAAAAGATAGCCCCTAGAGAAAAAGAAATTGATTTTCCTAACATGCAGTAACATTTGAAAATAGAGTAGTGGGCAGCAAGGCCTGTTTCACAGCCAGTATCACCTACATCGAATCACCGAGGATGTTCATTAAATATGTAGATCCCTGAGCTTCTCTCAAATGTATGGAATTAATTTGGAGGAGAGGTTCTAGAATCTCCAGATTTAAAGAGCATCCAAATGATTCTAATTCATGCTTGAATCTGAGAACCATTGGCCTAGAGTAGTGGTTCTCAAAGTATGGTGTCTGAGTCAGCAACATTTAACATCACCTAGGAAATGCACTTGTTAGAAATGCACATTTCAGGCCCTATCCCAGGCCTGCTGAGTTAGAATCTCTGGGGGTGGAGCTCAGCAATCCATTTTAACAAGCTCTCCAAGTTATTCTGATACACACTGAATGAACCACAGTGGCTCATTCAAAAACCACTTGGGTAGGGCCCTGGAAACTTGAGCTTTAATCCTAGTTCTACCTAATACAACCTAACAGAATGAATACTTAAGGAAAGTCTCCTTACTTCTCTTATCTTCAGCTACTAAAGTTGCTGGGGAGGTTCAGTGCCAGGTGTGGTGGCTCACACCTGTAATCCCAACAATTTGGGAGGCTGAGGCAGTTGATCGCTCAAGCTCAGGAGTTCAAGACCAGATTGGGGAATATGGTAAAACCCCGTCTCCACAGAAAATACAAAAAATTAGGCATGGTGGCACGTGTCTTTGGTGGTCCCAGCTACTCAGGAGGCTGAGGTGGGAGGATTGTTTGAGCCCAGGAGGTAGAGGCTGCAGTGAGCCTAGATTGCACCACTGCACTCCAGCCTGGGTGACAGTTGAGACTCTTATCTTAAGAAAAAAAAGTTGTTCTGGATTGTTTTGGGCTGGGTACTACAACTTCTATGAATCTCTAATGTATAGGAAGATCCAGTACATCAGATTAGGTATGTTTCTAAAACTGAAATGGTTAGATTTTGCTTCACAATTCCTGCTGGAAACTGGTGTCAATTCAGGTATTGATGGAGTCAGGCAGCATGTTCCTTTCTCAAATATTATAAAGCAAATTGTTTCTCCAAAATGAAATGTAGTTATACCCACAAACTTTAAAAATTTAAGAGGGCATCTTCTCGGAAATTCTCTGTTACATAGTCACTGAATTGGAGCTGTATGTAATTCCTGCTTCTCTGTTATAACACGTGTAGGCACTAATATATTTCTCTATACTCATTTTTGAGGAAAGAGTAGTCAAGAAGCATTTAACTTTGTGTTTTGATTACTTAGCTAAACTGTTAGCTGTAGGGACTAACTTAGGTGAAATTTATTTTCTTTGAATTACAGACATAGATGATTAATGTTACATATTTAATTTTTTAAAGTTGTCTTTAATAAAGAGGCATGTAAATATGATTTCATTGTGCCTTAATGTAACTTCTTGACTTAGGGATCATATTTTTAATTTAATATACTTAACATCAATTTTAATAACCTAAGATTGTCTTGTGCTGAGTTTATACAGGAATAGGGTCAACTCCTACACTTAACATGATTTCTGGAGCTGTTAACACTTTATCATAAAAAACAAGAATTATATTAATAATTGTGAATGTGTATTTGGTAGTATACATAGGCCTAAGCCCTGCTCTCCAGGAAGTCATGACTGCTGATTTAAACATAATAGGTCCATAAATTATAATTGTTAGGCTGACCTTTATTATTCATTGTATGTTTTGCAACTGTTTTTGATTGTTATCTTCAGATTATCTAGTAATAGTCAACAGTGTATTGAGTACTTTGCTCCAGACTGAAATGCTAACATTTTTCTTTTTCAGGACTTGGAAGGAGTAGATATCATCCTAGGTGTCTGCTCCAGTGGCCTTCTGGTTTACAAAGATAAGCTGAGAATTAACCGCTTCCCTTGGCCCAAAGTGCTGAAGATTTCTTATAAACGTAGCAGCTTTTTCATCAAGATTCGGCCTGGAGAGGTACAGAATTTGTATTTCCTTCCCCCCAAACCAGACACAGACTGTATTTGAAATATCTACATTTCCATTTTCCTTATTAAGTCATCTGAGAAGTCTCTCTGTAGTTAACTTTTCAAGGGCTGATAATTCTGTTTTCTAAGTTGATTAGTCCTGTGATGCTGCTTCTTTTCCTTACGACTGGTCTTCTGGACATTTCACTTTTTGTATGTAAATATACCATTGCAAAAAGTTAAAGTTGGACTGATAGATTTGTTCCTTACTCCAAGCAAAAACTTAATGGAAAAATATTTTTAAATTGAATAGCATGAGATTTTAAAATTATTTATGGGGATAAATTACTCATGTTTGGCACCACCAATCCCTTACCTTATATAATTAAAATTTATTTGTATGCATAGCTTCTTGCGGTTACTGAGAGTGGGTTCTAGGGCCAAGTTCTAGATTTTTAATAGAGTTGGATGTTCAACTTTGTACCAGTTAATTCATTTATTAGTTGGTTTCAGGATATACTAATGCTGGCCAAATTTAACTTTTGTATTGAAGAGCCGTTATGGAATAGCATAAAATTGTTTAAGTGGAATTAAAGTTTTTAAAACAGTTCTGCTTCCTTTCTGCTACATACTAAACAAAAGACCTGTACAAATCTAAGGCTTGGCTTCCTTATCATTTGAGCAGATAATACCTTCTCCATCATAGTTATTTGAAGATCAAATGAGATGACAGCTGTATAAGTTCTATATAGGAAATGATACTAACCTAAGGTGGCTTTTTTGTGTGTTTATCACCATCTGCTGGCGAAAAATGGCTCATTATTTCTGCCTGCAAATTCTGGATGTGAAGCCTTAAAACTCTTGGATAGGAATTACCATAGAAGCATTTATTTTGTACCATAATTATTTACTTTTGCCTAACAACAGAGCAATCAGTGTCTTCCCTTAAAATTTCAAATTCAAGAGTTATTCAATCAACAAATATTTATTGAGAGCTTTCCTGTGTCTGACACTATTCTAGGGACTAGGAATATAACAGCAAATTAGAATCCCATCCCTCACACACGTTAATATGATAATGGGAAGTCCTTGATTTCTAAAAATGTAAAATTCTTATTTAAGAAGGCAATCAGGAACAATAGGATTTTGAGAAACAGTATTGTGGCAGCAGTAGATGATTTAGCAGTGGCATGGTATGGTGAAGAGGGTGAAAATCTGGTTCTGTTATTTCATAGCTGTGAGACTGAGCAAATAACTTACTGACCTCAGTTTCTTCATGTGTAAAAATATAGATGATACTATCTAATCATAGTGTTACTGGCAATAGTAGGCACTCAAAATAAATGTCAGTTTCCTTTCCATCTTATAAAATATGCTTAAAGTAGAAACAAAGAGGCAAGAGGTCAACAGAACAGTGTTTCTAGTAGCCCTGGCAGAATATGGTTTGCTTCATTGTAAGAGAAATCTAGATAAATTAATGATCAATCAGAGGAAAAAAGAAATATTTAATGATTCAAGATTCTGAGATTCATTCAAGAGATCTATTGTACAACATGGTGACTAACATTGATAACAATGTATTGTATTCTTGAAAAATTGCTAAGAGACTAGATTTTAAGTTTTCTCACCTCAAAAAAAAATTATGTCAGGTAATACATATGTTAATCAGCTCAATTTAGCCATTTCACAATGTATACATATTTCTTGGGGTTTTTTGTTTGTTTGTTTGTTTGAGATGAAGTCTCACTGTGTCACCCAGGCTGGAGTGCAGTGGTGCGATCTCAGCTCACTGCAGCCTCCACCTCCTGGGTCCAAGTGATTCTCCTACCTCAGCTTCCTGAGTAGCTGGGATTACAGGTGCGTGCCACCATGCCCGGCTAATTTTTTTTGTATTTTTAGTAGAGACGAGGTTTCACCATGTTGGTCAGGCTGGTCTTGAACTCCTGACCTTGTGATCTGCCCACCTCAGCCTCCCAAAGTGCTGGGATTACAGGCGTGAGCCACCACGCCTGGCATGTATACATATTTCAAAACAACATGTTGTAGATGATAAGTATGTACAATTTTTATTTGTCAATTTTAAAACTGGATTTAAAAATCTGGCTTGAAATAAAATCTTTAGCTCCTATTACTAATTTCTATTGCATAGTAATATTGATTGATTGGAGGACTTGGTCAATATCCCATTCCCTGTTCATTGAATAGTGTCCCAAATGCAGATAGTGACTAAGGAAAAGTAGTGTCTGGACAATCAAAAGGTAACTTAATTGTGTCTCAGAAAAATGTATAGTGAATGTGTGTGTGTTTTCTGGAAAAAAAAAAAAAGCGTAAATTATATGAGATGCATTCCCTGGCTTTCTTACTTTGGAAAAAGCCACCCTCAGTGAGTGAATTTCTTTCAATAAGTAGGAAAAAATTTCAAATGACATTTTAAGTCCTTAAATTGGTAACAGTGGCGTCTTTCTGTGGCACCATATTTCTCTGGTACTGTATCACTGTAATCTGGTACTTTATCACACGTAATACTTCATGTCCCATGTTTATTTGTGTTTTTGTAGCAAGAACAATATGAAAGTACCATTGGATTCAAACTTCCCAGTTACCGAGCAGCTAAGAAATTATGGAAGGTCTGTGTAGAACATCACACGTTTTTCAGGTATTATTCTCACTTAAGTATTTTTCAAGGATAAATTATTTATAACGTTTCTATTTTAAGCCTGCTATTAAAATTCCTTTCATTGTATGACTGGCACTGTTTTATTTAGCTCAGGTGAGATCATCTTAAGCAAGACAAAATGAATCCATTTCTCTCCCTTTGAGTTGAAAAGTATGCCTCAACATTTCCAAAGCACCTGTCTGTGTGTGGTAGAAGGAAGAGAGGAGTAAGGAATGGGAACCTGTATTTACTAGGGACTCTGGGATTGCACTAATTGTAACTAAAGTCAGTCCAATTAAGGGGAGTTACCTTCACTTACTTCCACATGGAATTTTTTTTTTTTTTTTGAGACAGAATTTCACTCTTGTTGCCCAGGCTGGAGTGCAGTGGTGCGATCTCGGCTCACTGCAACCTCCACCTCCCAAGTTCAAGCAATTCTCCTGCCTCAGCCTTCCAAGTAGCTAGGATTACAGATGCCTACCACCATGCTCAGCTAATTTTTTTTTATTTTTAATAGAGACGGAGTTTCACTATGTTGGTCAGGCTCGTCTCAAACTCCTGACCTCAGGTGATCCACTCACCTTGGCCTCCCAATGTGCTGGGATTATAGGCGTGAGCCACCGTGCCCGACCAGAATTTTTATTTTTATTTTTTTGTTTTGTTTTGTTTTTGTTTATTTTTTTTCCACATGGAATTTCTGTAAGCAATGCTTAACTAATTTTTGTGGGGCTTTTATACTATAAGGTTAAAGATGTGAAGCTGATTTTTTTTTTTTTTTTCTTTTTTTGAGATGGAGTCTCGCTCTGTTGCCCAGACTGGAGTGCAGTGGCAAATCTCAGCTCACTGCCACCTCCGACTCCTGGGTTCAAGCAATTCTCCTGCTTCAGCCTCCTGAGCAGCTGGGATTACAGGTGCACACCACCATGCCTAGCTAATTTTTGTTTTTGTATTTTTAGTAGAGACGGGGTTTCACTGTGTTAACCAGGATGGTCTCGATCTGCTGACCTCATGATCCACCCACCTCGGCCACCCAAAGTGCTGGGATTACAGGCCAGAGTCACTGCGCTGGCCAACCTTGAAGCTGATTGTTAGCTTAGCTCTAATGAAACCTAGAAAGGGAGCACACAGAACCATATTTGAAGCCCAATAGTACCAGATAATCAGAAGACAGAAGAAAGTATTTCCTCTGCTGTTTGTTTGTGATGGAGTCTTGCTTTGTTGCCAGGCTGGAGTGCAGTCTGTGATCCTGGCTCACTGCTCCTGGGTTCCAGTGATTCTCCTGCCTCAGCCTCCCAAGTAGGTGGGATTACAGATGCCCACGACCACGCCTGGCTATTTTTTATATTTTTAGTAGAGATGGAGTTTCGCTACATTGGCCAGGCTGGTCTCAAACTCCTGACCTCAACTGATCTGCTCACCTCGGCCTCCCAGAGTGCTGGGATTATAGGAGTGAGCCACCGTGCCAAGAGGTCATATTATTAACCCCTTGAATTCATCTACCAAGCATTTTCTGTGTGCTTACCCTTCTTGTATGCACCATGCTAGGCACTGGGAATATACCACAAGATAATTCTAATCTCTCTCCTGATGGAACCCAATCTAGTAGAGAAGACAGATCCTAGACAAGTAATTACTTGTGTTGAAAGGAGAGTTAGCTAGTTATTTATCAGTTTGCCTTTTTTTTTTTTTTTTATGAGACAAGAATCTCACTCTGTTGCCCAGGCTGGAGTGCAGTGGCGTGATGCCTCAGCCTCTCAAGTAGGTGTGACTACAGGTGCACACCACCATGCCTGGCTAATTTTTAAATTTTTAGTAGAGACTGGATTTCACCATGTTGACCAGGCTGGTCTCGAACTCCTGACCTTAGGTGATCCACTTGCGTTGGCCTCTCATAGTGCTGAGATTACAGGGTGAGCCACTGCGCCCGGCCCAGTTTGCCTTTTTAAGAACATTTCTTTATTATGGGAAATTTCATCTGTAGCAACAGTACAATAAAATCCCCTTGTATTTATCACCCAGCTTCAATAAGTATCACCCCAAAGCCAATCTTGTTTCATCTGTATCCCTACCCATTCCTTCCCCCTACTTCCAAGATTATTTTGAAGCAAATCCCAGGCCTCATGTCATTTCATTCATAAATAAACTTGATTCTTAAAGAGAGAGAGATAATCCTGATGTATTTTCCTTCTATTTATATTTTCATATAATAGCACTATAGCACAGTCAACAAGAAGAAAATTCAAGGAAATTAATATTTCATTTATTTCAAAATGAAACAGGGTACATTTTATACCCAATTAAAGAATCTTAATTATTGGCATTAACACATTTGTTTGTGCTTTTATCATCCCTCCTTCTTTAAAATCAAACCACAAAAGTAGAATTTTTTTAAAAAGAGCAAGGAGGAGTAAAAAATAGTGATTTTTGAATGTTTAATACCTGTGGTATAGATTTCAACTGCAGCCAGTATACTTATTTGTAGGATGGCATATTTAAATCCATTGCATCAAAATAAGAGGATACCTTAAAATGTAATGCTCCCTTACATAAAAGAAAGTGTATGTTTGCTGAATTGAAATTAATTACCTCAAAGGGAAAAGTACTCTCTTTTTGTTAGTATTTGATCTAGGAATTTATGTATTTATTCAACAAACATTTATTGGGTATCATATTTATGCCAGGTACTATGCCAGAAGCAAAAACACAAAGATGAATAAGCCATGGTGTTTGTTCTTCACTCCTAGAGAATTCAGTCTTATAGGGAAGACCAGCATAGAAATAGATTGTTTAATTCATTCAGTATGGTACAAAGAGTACATAGAGTACCATATAGGAAAAAGATGGGGTTCCTAAGTGAGTGTAAAAATACACCAAATAACCTCTTAAATAGATTACCAGGCATTAATTGAGTTTGGAGTGCATTTGACAAAACTGTCATTCTAGTAGAGTGGAAAAAGAACTCTGGGCTTGGACTTTGTTTCTGCCTAATATCCTAACAGCTGTGTGACCTTAAACAAGTAACTTCCTTTTTGAGGTTCAGTTTCCTTTATCTATAAAATAGTGAAAACATTACAAGGATATAGTAAAAATACTGCAGTGCTGTAAAAACGTTTTGAAAACTGTAAGGCTCTTTCTATAGAGATATAAATGATATTATTAATGTAGGTCCCAACTAAATTATACTGGTTGCTTTGAGAAATGACAAAGAAGCCAAAATAATGATTACTTGATTGAAAATTTCTTAGTAACTATATGGAAACCCTAAGAATTGTTGAAACTTTTTTATTCTTGATTTTGTTTTTAGTTTTACAGTTTTAGAATAAGATGAATATATAATAATATGACTATTATGATTTTCCCCCCAGATTGACATCTACAGACACCATTCCCAAAAGCAAATTTCTTGCGCTAGGATCCAAATTTCGATACAGTGGCCGGACTCAAGCTCAGACCAGGCAAGCTAGTGCTCTAATTGACAGGCCTGCCCCACACTTTGAGCGTACAGCAAGTAAACGGGCTTCCCGGAGCCTCGATGGAGGTTTGTATTGAATATTAATTATTTCTTGTGATCATAATTCATTTGGAAAGATAAAGGAAGTACAGTTGTCTATAAGAGAACCAAATTAAAGAAGCTCAGGGTTGGGCCTGGTGCGGTGGCTCACACCTATAATCCTAGCACTTTGGGAGGCGAGGGTGGGTGGATTGCCTAAGCTCGGGAGTTTGAGACCAGCCTGGGCAACACAGCGAAACCCCGTCTCTACTATTGAAAAAAATTAGCTGGGCGTGGTGGCGTATGCCTGTAGTCCCAGCTACTCAGGATGCAGAGGCAGGAGAATTGCTTGAACCCAGGAGGTGGAGGTTGCAGTGAGCCGAGATCACGCCGTTGGACTCCAGCCTGGCTGACAGAGTGGGACTCCGTCTCAAAAAAAAAAGAAGCTCAGTAGTGAAATGAAAGGGATCTTACTAATTGTCTAATCTTAATAGAACCATCTTAAGGAAAGGAAAATAGAGATTCAGAGAGTAGTAACTAGATCATGGTTCCACTGCTAGGTAGCGGTGGATCAAACACTACTAGAATTAGAATTATAAATCTACATCTATCAGAATCTTTACCACAGAGTAAAAATCTAATGTAGTATGCTGAACTGAAGCCCTCTTAGCGTTTAAAAATAGCTATTATATTTTTCTGCGGTCCTGGTAACACAGGAGGCTGAGGCAGGAGGATAGCTTGAGCCCAGGAGGTGGAGGCTGCAGTGACCTATGATTGCACCTCTATACTCTAGCCTAGGCCATAAAGTGAGACACTGTCTCTAAAAAAAAAATAAATAAATAATAGCAATTTTCTATAGTAGAAAAGAGGAAAAGGGTCTGCCTTACTACAACAATCTTTTTTTTTTTTTTAATTTTTTTTTTTTTTGAGATGGAGTCCCACTCTGTGGCCCAGGCTGGAGTGCAGTGACGCAACCTCGGCTCACTGCAACCTCTGCCTACCGAGGTTCAAGTGGTTCTCCTGCCTCAGCCTCCCGAGTAGCTGTGATTACAGGCACGTGCCACCATTCCTGGCTAATTTTTGTATTTTTAGTAGAGATGAGGTTTCACCATGTTCACCAGGCTAGTCTCAAACTCCTGACCTCAGGTCATCTACCCACCTCGGCCTCCCAAAGTGCTGAGATTACAGGTGTGAGCCACTGTGCCCAGCCATACAAGAATAATTTAAAAAGAAGTTTGTCACGTGGCAATTATGGATAGGAAATTCCAATATCCTATTGTTGGAGTCGCCAAATGTTGTTTAAATAAAATAGGGAGGAAATACACAAATTTCATGATTGTATATACTGACAGAAGGTCCGTCTGAATTGATATATTGTGGGAGGATCTTCTAAGTTAGCATTTGAGACCATTACTGAAATGAGGTAATAAGCTACATTCAGTTCTTTATGTCACTAAGAAAAGAGTGGCTAATAAATAAAAATTCAGGCTGGGTGCAGTGGCTCACACCTGTAATCGCAGCACTTTGGGAGGCCAAGGTGGATGGATCACATGAGGCCAGGAGTTCGAGATCAGCCTGGCCAACATGGTGAAACCCCGTCTCTAATAAAAATACAAAAATCAGCCAGGCATGGTGGCACACTCCTGTAATCCCAGCTACACAGGAGGCTGAGGCATGAGAATTGCTTAAACCCAGGAGGCGGAGGTTGCAGTGAGCCAAGATTGCGCAACTGGACTCCAGGCTGGGATACAGAGACTGTCTCATAAATAAATAAATGAATAAATGAAAATTCAGAAGGGCTGGGTATGGTGGCCCATGCCTGTAATCCCAGCACTTTGGGAGGCTGAGGCAGGCTGATCACTTGAGGTCAGGAGTTCAAGACCAGCCTAGCCAGTACAGTGCAACTCTGCCTCTACTAAAAGTATAAAAATTAATTGGGCGTGATGGCACACGCCTGTAATCCCAGCTACTCGGGAGGCTGAGGCACGAGAATTGTTTAAACCTGGGAGGCGGAGGTTGCAGTGAGCTGAGATGGCACCACTGTACTCCAGCCTAGGCGACAGAGTGAGACTCTGTCTCAAAATAAAATAAAATAAATAAAAGATATAAGTTCAGAAGGCAGTAACCCAAATAGGGTATTATTGATTACCTTTATTATTTGTTACCAGTGTACAACCCTATGCTAGCTACTGTAAAAGCAAGGTACATGTTGTTATGTGCATATATAGTGTAGAGGTTAAGGATTTGGGTTCTGGAATCAGACAGACCTGATTCCAGTATCAACCCTAGCATTTATGAGGTATGTTCCTAGGCAAATTACTTTATTTCTCTGTGCCTCAGTTTTCTCATTTGTAAAATGGAGATGATGATAGTATCATACTACCTCAGAGTTTTCATGAGGAATAAATGAGGTGGCATATGTATGGTACTTAGCACAATGGCTGGCACTTAATAAGTCCCCCCCCACAAAATGTTAGCTATCATTAAGATACTGTTTTTCTGGCTGTAACATTTGTATCATCTGGAACCATGCTACTATATTCTGGTTTGTGATGTATGCAGACTCTCTCATGAGGTATGTAGACCATTATACAGCAGCCATAGTCACCATTTGGAAATTCCCTACTAATTGAGCAAGTATTTCTTTCCATGATGTGAGGAAATTTTTTAATAGAATGTAAAAAGATCCTTTTTACAATGTTCCTCTTGGTTTCATAGTTTAGTCATCTCTTGTGCTAGGTAATGTGCTAGGTGTGAGTCCCTGCCCTCATTGGATTCTTAACCTAAATGGAGGATATTATAATATTCATCAGAGTGAAAGAAACAAGGCATTATGAGAGCCTATATCCTTAATTTAGAGGAATCGGGAAGGGGTCAGCCACATTTGGAAAAAAGATCACCTAAGCAATAGGACTTTTGTGCTTCCATGCTGTGAGTCATGTTTTGTTTTGTTTTGTTTGAGACAGAGCCTCACTCTGTCGCCCAAGCTGCAGTGCAGTGGCACAATCTCAGCTCACTGCAACCTCTGCCTGTAGGGTTCAAGTGATTCTCATGCCTCAGCTTCCCAAGTTGCTGGGATTACAGGCATGTGCCACCACACCTGGCTAATTTTTGTATTTTTAGTAGAGATGAAGTTTCACCATGTTGGCCAGGCTAATCTTGAACTCCTGGCCTCAAGTAATCTGCCTGCCTCAGCCTCCCAAAGTCCTGAGATTACAGACATGACACCCCCCACCTTTTTTTTTTTTTTTTTTTGGGTGTTTTTCTACTCTCCTGAGGGGCTGTTTTTAATAGTAACAATACAAGTCATGTTGTGTGCTTTGTCTTAATCTTCATGAAAACACTATGAACTAGGCTTGAAGATTAAATAACTTTTCTTGAGACATAACATCTGATAAATGGAAGTGCTAAGAGTGGAATTCAGGTTGATTTAACTCTAAAACTCATGTTCTTTCAGGTACATATTTATTACTTTGTTCAACAATTTTTCCTGTGGGCCAGGTGGTATTCCAGTCACTAGAGATACAGCTGTGAGCACACAAACATTGTCTCTGCCTTCATGGAGCTTACATTCTGTCACTGGAAACAGAGAAGAATAAAACAAAATAATTTCAGATGGTGATGAATGCTGTGGAGAAAATAAAACAGGATAAGGGATATAGACTATCTGGGGAAGGGGGAGATTAAGGAGTATTTCAGATTGGATGGTCCAATCTAATTTAGAAGGCTTCTCTGAGGAGCTTCATTTGAGCTGAGACCTGAATTATGCGAAGGAGCCAGCCTTCTCAAAATCTAGGGGAAGAGCCTTGCAGAAGAGGGAGTAGCGAGTACGAAGTCCTAAAGGTAGGAATGAGCTTGCCGTGTGTCTAGAGCAGTGCTGTCCCATGGACCTTTCCGTGCTGATAGAAATCTTTCATTTTGTGATATCCAGTTCAGTAGCCAATAGATATATGTTTCTGTCCACTAAGAACTTGAAATGTGGCTATGTAACTGAGGAACAGAATTTTAATTCCAATTTAAATAGCCACATGTGACGTATAGCTCTCATATCAGACAACATAGGTCTAGATTCCAGAAAATGAAGGGGTGAGGAGTACAAAATAAGTGAGGTCAGAGAAGTAGGTGGGAGCCAGATTGTATAGGGCCTTGTGGGCCACAGTAAAGAGTAGATTTTATTTCATTTGCACTGGGAAGCTATTAGAGAGAGTGATGTAATCTGAATCCCATTTTTAAAAGATCGCTGACAGCTGAAAAGTGCATTGAAGTGTCAGTGAAAGAAGCAGGGCGAAGGCTGTTGCAGAGTCTGGGACAGCTTGGACTTGAGTGTTGGCAACAAAGACAGGGAAAAGTAGTCAGGGATACATTTGGAGATAGGGCTGACTGAATTGCTGATAAATTAAGTATTGGAGATGATAAGGAAAAGAAACTTAAGTTTTATTGCTTGGCTTAATCATTTAGTAGAATGAGAAAATCTGGGAGAGTAGCAGAGCTGGGGATATGGAAAATAAAAACTTCTATTGTGGATAAGTTAAGTTTGAGGCATAATCATTTAATCTTCATGTCTTTGCCATATTCAGATAACACTATCAGGCATCTCCCTCCTTGTCCAGTAAATCACCTTACGTCCAGTTTACCTTAGGTATGGGGAATTATCTTTTTATCCTCATTTTTCAGGTGAGAAAACTGAGGTTGGGAAGTTTAAGTGACTTGTTCAGCATCTCACAGACAGTAAGTTGCAAGCTATGACAAAAATCCAGGTCTGTCTGATAGCATGTTCCATGGCTTTTCCTGCTAAATGGAGTTTCATGGTTATATAGATACTATGCCTGATGTATTGCCTTTTCCTGATAGCAAAGATAACCAGAGTCAAGTGTTAATGAGCTTTGGTACCTTGAACAAGTTAGAAAGCTGTACAGAAATCACATCTTGACTGCCTTATTACATTTATATTCCGGAAATTTTTTTAAGATGCATGGTGTTAACTTGTCCTGGTAATTACCACAGTTCTTGCTACATTGTATTTAATAAATAAATATTGGCTGGGTGTG